CCCACAGCCCTCAGCTCGCAGCTTGTAGCAATTTTTGTGGGCGATGGCAAAAGACAGAGCCAGATATTTATCATTTCATCAATCAAATGGACATCGTATTCTGGCCATGGCAGTGGCACTGGCTGGTTGGGTGGCTCGGCTGGGATGTCGATGGGATGCCAAAAGAAAACTTTTCATCATTTAATTTTGCTGCTACAATTACGCAAGCTGGGATTCCGAAGCCCGAGTCCGCTCTGAGTGCCCGAGTGCTCTTTCAAGGCATCATCAATCTCTTTTAGCGTGTAAGCAAAATGGCGGACATTGGCAGGACAATAAAGGCAACACACACGCACACACGCACACACGCACACACGCACACACACACACAGACACTTATCAATTACAATAGCCGCCATTTTGTTTAGCGGCGAGCACACATGCACACACACACATGCACGCGGGAGGACATAAATCCCATAAATGCAAGTCATATTTAAAAGCCAAGCGAAAAGCCCCACAAAAGTTTCGCCCTTGGCTCTGCCATAGATTTCTGTCATAAGTAGTTGCTCAGCAGCTCGGAGTGGGGATTGGGCTTCGCCTGGAACTTGGACTTGGACCTGACTACCAATCTCATTTGCTGATGCTCGGACTTGGCTTTTGTTGTTTGTGGCTCTGGCTATTGCTGTGGCTGTGGCTGTGGCTCTAACTGTGGCTGTGGCTGTGGCTCTAGCTGTGGCTCTGCGGCTGCTGCAGTTGAGTTATGACTTAAGCTGACATTTCATTAGTGCGCATTAAGTGTTCTGCGAATGAGTTTAACTGCCATGAGACATCCGACACTCTGCACAATAAAACAAAGCAGACTCCGCCAGCTGACTGCGTGTGTATGTGTGTGCGAGTGTGTGTGTGTGTGCGTGTGTGTGCTGGAGCTAGTTTTTAGCATAGCCTTGCCTTAATTAGTTGCCCTAATAAGGCAGCATCCCGAGCCACTCTAGAGCCGAGCACTGAATGACCCAATTTCCACACACACACACGCACACATACACACACACACACACACGCACACACTCAACCCGACTCGTCGGTTAATTAAACATTACTCGAACTGACCGCAGGCTTTTAAATTCCGTGCGAATGCAGTCAAATAATTAATTGTGTGGCAAATACAGTCGATAAGCAACAAATCCGAATAGCTAAGCAGGAGTGGACTGGAGCTGCTGCTGGACACTTTGCTGCAGCTTATTAACTTTTAATTGAGTTTCAAGAGTTTACAAAAATGCCAACTGCCAGCTGCCCTATGCAACAGATAACAGATGAAAATGTGATCGATCGGATCGTGATGGACTGCTGGGTCGATGAGTCTTGCTTCTCTCTGCTTACAGGGTATTCGGCCAGTGGTCAGTCTCTGGGCGCACACGAATAAATGAATACAAAATTCAAATTCAAATTTAAATTAAATGAGCTCTGGGGCAATTCAGGTCGGGCCATGTCAGTACGGGGCTTGGCTCTCTCAAGTGGGCAGGCCACTCGAGTGGCCACAGCGCCACTTGAGCGAGCCATGGAAATGAATGGAATTGACCACGGACTGGCTGGCTGGCTGGCTGGTTGCCTGGCTGACTGCATGACTAACTGCCTGAATGAGTGAGTGAGTGAGTGAGTGAATGAGTGAATGAACGACGGAACGAACCATTTGCATGCACACAAAACATTTGCAAAAATGGCAAACGCCGCAACTAAGTAGAGCAACGGGCGGAGGGGGGAGCGCAGGGATGGTCGGGGATCGGCGAGAGTGGAGTGTGGACTTAACTAGACTGCAGGTCAATTAATTAAGGGTAAATTAAGAGCAGCCCTAAAGAAGGGAAGTCGCTCCAGCTCCAACTCCAGCTGCTGCTATTGCCAAGCTGCTTAGCGATTTGAGTGGTAAGATTATGAGCTCGAGCCGGCTCTAAGAGTGTAGCACAAATCCTCAGCTACCTTCGCATGGAAGCGGCTAAGTGCATTGCCCGGAAGTGGAAAAGCTTGAACATCGTAAATGCTAAATGGTAAATGCCAGAGCCCAACAACAATGAACATCCACATCAGCAGGGGCGTGTTCGCTGCCACTGACGAAGGCCAGCCCGCTTGATGGACTGCCTAGCCGAGTCCGAATCCAAGCAGGACTCCGTGCGACTCGAAGCATTTGTATTTGTCAGCCGGCGCACTATAAATGAGCCTTCGAATCGATAACGAAGCATGGACACCGAGCAGCAGCAATGCACTCAGCAGGAGCGAGCAAAAGTGGGCCAGCCGAAGTCAAATGGAGTACAGACTGCCATCTATTCCCCCGGCTGTCAGCCTAGTTCAGGCGTTAAATAATATTTGGTATCACATTTATAAAGGGAAATATATCTCTGGGAACTATCGAGTGCGACTGTATAGAGCAATGGGCTTATGCTATTAAGATATCACTTTTTAATAAAAAGCGAACTCGCTCTCTCTTTCTCTCTCTCTCTCTCTCTAACTCGACTAGAACACAGATAGTTTTGTAGTAGCTTAGCGTAGATTATTTAAGCTGCTCATTAATCTCAATGATGGCAGGGAAAGCATGCAGCAGGAGGCTCTGTGAGGCTGCTCCAGTCCTAGCTCAATGCAATAATTTAATATTAGCACAGAAGGAAGAGCATGAGGCGCATGAGGAGGTTGTAGTTGAGTAGTTGTACGAGTGTAATAATAAACAGCAGCAATGACCACAATCAACGACAACAACAACGACAACAACAACAACAGCAGCAGCAGCAGGAGCAGAAGTAGCAGCGGCAGCTCAGATAACGACAATAATAATAAACTCAATAAGCAAATAAGTAGCCGGGCAACCCAGGCCAAGCAGGGAGCCAAAGAGTTGAGCTCGAATAGATAAGGAGGAGGAGGAGGAGGAGGCGGAGGCGAAGGCGGGAAAGGAGGCTGTCTCATATTTGCATGCACTCTGAAAGGAGAAGAACTACAATAGCAGCAATTTATGAGAGCGATACGGAAACTGTTGCACAACAAGAAATGAAATGGACAATTGACTTGCCTCGTGGCATTGTCGAGGCTACCTCCACAGAGCATACGCTGCCCATACACACACAGTATGTGCCTGGTAGTAGGTGTATTATGAGCGGAGCCAACTGGTATCGCAGACGCTGCAGCGATAAATTAAGGCGCACTAACTAACCAACTGGAAGATAATGGCAAATGAAGCCGTAGGAGTAGCTGATGCGAGCTCAGCATGAAGGCGGATCTGACCAGTACCGACACCGGCACCGGCACCGGCATCGGCTGTTGCATGCCACAGCAACATGTTGCGCATTCAAATGAAGACCGCGGCGAACCCACACACGAGCGCAGCGAGTCAGGAGCACGTCCATTCAAATTGCTCAGAGCGGAGACCACATGCTCATTGTTCGAATGCAACAACAAGGCTGCTGCGCCTGCGCATTGCTGTCAGCCTCGCCCTCTCCCTCTCCCCCCCTCTCTCACTCTCTCGCTCTGTGTGCCTTTGTCCCAGGCTCATTCCCTTTTGGGCAGGCTGCCGTTTATTATCATTGCATAGGCACACAAAAAAGGAAATTCGCCTCGCATTGTTGCTGCTGCCCAAGTCGAGCCATTAACTTTTGTCCAGCCAGAGCCCAGAGCATCCTCGTTTGCCAGTTGCGATCTGTGCCTCTGGCTACTGTGTGCCTGTCCGCCCGTCGAGGATGGATTCTGGTTCTTTTGCAGTTGCTGTCAGTCAGGGAAAGGGAGGCCTCGGAGCAGCCTACGCAGCAATGTTTTTCTGGACTGGCTTATGCAATGACGCAGCCACGGCAAATGCATTTTAAATTGTCGCCCATTAATCAAAAGTCGCTTTCGGTTTGCAGCCCCGAAAATTTCTCTCAATTAACCAACGCTAACCGCGGCCAGAGTCACAGATTTGCATATCAGCTCCAAATCACTTCACAGTTTCACGCAAGCGACGCTCCGATAAGCGAGAGGGAATGATAATGCTCACGCGCGTCTGTGTGCGTGAGCACATACACATGAGGGGACAAAAAGTGTCGTGCGACATGGCAGTTGATATCTTATGCCGTTAATATGCAGATGACATACGGCGCATCGAAAATTGAATCTCGTATCGCATTCTCTTGTCACATCTGGAACTCTTTCATATTCAGCTGGAGTCGAAGATCGGAGCGGGCAGCGGGCAGCGGGCTGCGGGGTTTCGGTATCGATATCGTCATCGGCATAGGCATCGGTGTCGGATGACTGCAGCTAATTTTTTGTCACTTATGCAAGAGTTTTGATATCCATTCTCGTTTTCCATGATTAGCATGACAAAAGATGCAAATGGGCAATGGGAAGGGGCTATTCATATGTCATATACGAAATATGAGCGCTGTAAACATTCATTAGGAAGACATTTAAATTAATTTTTCAGCTTTTATTGCGAGTTGACGCCTCTTCGTGTGGCTGTTGCAGTTGGGCGAAAGCTAAATAATTTAAATGAGACTCAATCGGCTTTCATCTCCGACTGCATCAACTTCAGCTATTTCACTCCACCTGGAGTATGCAAAATTGTGAAGGTGAAGCGGAGGCGGCGGTTGCTGCGAGTGACACGAGCAAAGCCCCAACGCGGTTGCAGAGTAAATAATTATAATATGCAGTATCAGAGAATAAATAAAGCCAAATAAAGTAAATAACAACAAAACGGAAAAACAACAAATAATAATAAATACAAATAATACAGTTGCAGCAACGGCCAATGTAGCAACAAAAACGCAGTGCGGTCAGCCACAAAATGCAGTAAATTAAATTATTGCAAAAGCTGAGGCCGAAATAAACATAAAATAAAAACGACAAAAAATAGCATAAAATGAAATAAAAACGAAATATATGAGTGCATTGCATATTGGAATTAAACAAGTGAAAATCTCAAACATTAAATTTTAAAATTGCAATTCATCCATTAAATTAAGCTACTAAATAGACGAACTATAACTAATTGCTCTCTTTCCTCTTCTTTGCAGGTATGCTCCCAGATGAACCTAGTTATATAAACTCAACTCGGTTGCAAGGTTTGCCCAATTTTCGTGATTCATAGATTATAATACAAGATGTGGAATGTCATGGAATTGAGACATTCACAATAGTCATGTTTCAGTGCACTCCAGTCACTTCTGCATCTAATTCTCATGACAATACATACGATGACTACATAGAATATTCGTCTATGAATCAGTTCCAAAATGATTGAATTATTATCTACAATCCAATCTAAAATGTTGCTATATCAAATAATCATATCTACTATTCGAGACATGTACTAGCCTGCCCTTTGTCTTATCTGCTGGAGAAATATGAGGAGGCTCTTTAGTTCAAGAAGCGAGATAAGATAACTATATTTCTTTTAACTACAATTCTGTCCTTATTGGACGGATTCAGCCTGCAACCCTACAAGGTTCTCCATATTCCACAGAACCATGTTTTCTTCATTTAATCAAAGAAACATCCAATTTCAATATGATATCTCTCATCTGGGCCTGTACGGCGTATTGATCCCGTCTCTGTCAAAAGCTATAGGGTGGATCTACGGAACTTCGGATTGAATTCCACTTCAAATTGAATCATTCATAATTCACATTCGAGCTGTGCAAACGTTATTAAACATACGCAATCCCATTCCGCCAGCCTTAGTTGACACAGGGCAATTGGTGTGTTTAGAGTTTGACAACAATAATGTTTATTGACAGTTAGCATAACACTTACTGTTTTGCCCGGGCCTTGTTTATTATTGTTGCGGCCTGCATGCAAATATTATCGCATTTAATTAACTGCTGGCAGAGAAAAACAAGTTTGAAACATTTTGTTGTTAACTTGACTTTCATACGAAGGCCTGCCGGCTAATGGGGCTAGAGTTAGCTTCCCCTTCCCAAAACGAGGTGCACAACAGATTTAAAGGTGCGTGGTATACATGTGTATACCTAACACAATAGACACGAACTGCACACACACACACACACTCACACAGAGAGAGAGAGCTGTAAGCACAGGCAGCGGGTGCTTGCAGCAGGCGCTGCTGGCTTGTTGAACATTTTTCAACAATTTATTTAATCATGGGTTAGCTTCAAGTTGCCAGCCACATGCCAGCAGCTGCTTCTCTTTTTTCCATAGCATACTTTTTGGCGGGCCTCGTTTAATGCGCTTACTCTCTCTCTCTCTCTCTCTCTCTCTCCCTCGCTCTGCTGCCTTGTCTTTGCTGCTGTCCTGCTCGGCTCAGCTGATTCTAGCTGGTTGGCACACATTTTGCATGCCATTAAAAGTCAGCGGTTTGTTTGTTATACATGTGTGTGTGTGTGTGTGTGTGTGTGTGTATAAAGCTCAAGTTATACTGTGGGTTTTTTCTCTCTTGTTGTTGTTGTTGGTGTTGGTACTACGGTTGCTGCTGTTACATTTTAATTGCTTTACATAATGCCAGCGCTTGCTTGTAATGTTGCTAGTTGGCTCGGCGGCATTGTTGTTGTTGTTGTTGTTGTTGTTGTTGTGGTTGGTGCCGCAATGTTTTTCCATTATTTTTAATTGTTGCTGCTGCGCCTGTGCGTAGGCACTATTACATTATTGCACAACAGTCATACCCACACACACACACACACACACACACACAGGCACACACACAGATTTGAAATGCATGTTTGGTGTATCTGCATAGTTGGCGGGGAGCCTTGGCCGGTTGCCTAGCGCCTAGCGCACTGCAATTAACCGACTTTAATTGGGAAATTAACTTTGCACCCAGTCTCGTCGTGACTACTGACAAGCACACAGCTGGCCTGAAACTCGTCTTGTGATTTTTGTTAATTCGTTAATTAAAAATTGTTACAAAGCCGCGTTAGTGGCAAAAGAAAAACTTGTACAGTGTCTTTTTATAGACACGGTGAAGACAATAATAATCTGCATTTCGCAAATTAATTAGAATAAATATTAAATAATAAAGTTGAAGTGCAATTTTTCGGTCGGGCTCCGGCCGCTTGACAGCGACCGCCTGTCAAAATCAGCTGTTCACTGGTTGGTGTCCATGGAAGTCGCACTGGCTGGTTGTTGTCCAAAGAAGGTTAACAATCAGCAGTGTTGCATATTATTGGGCAGTCGCAAATTTGGCAACAACAAATTTGTGAATCTTGCCCAGAATGGATGGAGGCTCAACTAATCAACCCCAGCTTAATATCAAGCAGGACAGGACTGAGAGGATGAGGAATATTGCTGGTGCGACGCCTGCAGAGCTGCGCACCCAACTGGCCGAAGAGCAATTAAAAGCAATGCAAGCGGCAAAAAGTAGAGTGGGTTTGGTCGCAACAAGCACAAACACCATTACTACGAGCACCCTAACATTTTCTAATGTTAGCTGCACTGCTAGCTATACTACTGGGAGCATATGTTCTACTGCCCTTGTTTCTAGCGCCGCATCTTCTTGCACAAGTGTGGCTGCTAGCCCTTCACAAAAAAAAGACTGCACTTTCCAATCTACTAAGCTGGCTGTCTCGAAGAAACATAAAAAAGCGGACAAACTGTCAAAAACAATCCGCAAAATGAACCCTGCCCAGCTTAGCGTAAATGTTGGGAGCCTAACCAAAAGCCCTGCTGCATCCTCCTCAGCAGCTAATTATAGCAATCGCTTCGCAGCTCTGGCTGAAGAAGCCGAAGCCCTAATGGATATGGACGAAGAAGTTCAAGATAGGGAAAATGAAAGCAACCGTAATCCTGATAGAGAGGAACAGGAAAACAAAATATCTAAGCCTCCAGCTATTTGCGTGCCGCAGGTTAATAATATGATCAAATTTGAGACAGCGTTAAGTTCTGTTATTGCGGATACCGAGTATGAAATACGCACATCCAGATCTGGAATCTCGCGTATTTATACAAAAAACTCAAACGCATTTAGATCTGTCGTTGACATATTATCTAAGCAAAATTGTCAATTTTGGCATCATCAACTAAAAGAAAATACACCATATAGAGTGGTCATTAAAGACTTACACCCCAACGTCTCAAAACATCGAATTGAACGCGCTTTTACTGATCGGAACCTCACAGTACTGAACATCTACTGTCCCAGGAAACGAGACTGGCGCAATATTGAGATCAATGAAGAGGATGATGACGAATTGAATGAAGCTAAAACAAGACAAAGCATGTTCTTTGTTAATTTACAGAAGACGCCAAATGTTGCAGAGGCTTTTAAAATAACTCATATTGGAACGCACAGAGTTACAATATTAAAAGCAAAACACAACAGGGAAATAGTCCAGTGCTTCAGATGCCAAGACTACGGACACACGAAAAATTATTGCCTCAAAAACCCAGTTTGTGGTAAATGCTCAGGTGACCATTTTACTGGCTCCGAGAACTGCCAGCTAAAGTCTAGTGAGACCTCCATATGTGCCAATTGTGGAGACAACCACATTTCCAGCTTTAAAAGCTGCACAGTCAGAGTCAAGCTAAGCAAAAAGCTAAAGCCTGATGCAAGATTGCCCAAACATGGACTTCCAAACAATAACAATCATGCAGACATTCAGAATTCTAGAGCGCAGTTTATTTCAAACGCCACTGTTCAGAGAGGCTTTTCTTATGCGGATAACTTCAGGCCCAAAGTAAATCAGCAAAATATTACCAGAACACAAGTGTCTAGGTCAAATGACAATGCTGATGACCGAGAATACGACAGCAAATTTATCCTTTTAGAAAAGGCAATATCAGATCTAAATTCAAGAATGGATCAAATGTTCAAACTTATCCAGGAAACAATGGAAGCAAACAAAGCCTTTCGTGTCCTGGTTCAGAAGCTCATTTTAAAATGATCAATTCGAGTTTAAAAATCGGATTGTGGAACGCAAGAGGATTGGTTAAAAGCAATGACGAGCTGAGACTTTTCCTTGATGCTAAATCAATTGATGTGATGTTGGTCACGGAGACACACATGCGCCCAGGCCTTAAAATTTATACACCTGGATACAACCAATACTACGCAAATCACCCCAGTGGTACAGCGAAAGGCGGATCTGCTGTGCTGATAAAATCTAACATTGTTCATGACATCACTGAACCCATTTCAAATAATAATATTCAATCGGCTAGTTTGAGTTTGATGACAAACATCGGAAGCGTCATAATATCATCAATCTATCTTCCTCCTAACGAGCCCTGGAGTGAAAATGATTTTAAGGTACTACTTCAGTCCCTGGGAAACCGGTTCATTGCAGGAGGAGACTTTAATGCAAAACACCAATGGTGGGGAAATTCACGGAGTTGTTATCGTGGAAAACGGCTGCAAGAGGCCATCGCAAGTGGTACTTGGCAAGTCCTAGCAACCGGAAAACCAACTTTTTATTCATTCAACACCCTGCTTACTCCCTCTGCACTCGACTTTTTCATATATAATGGGTTCGCCACTAACAAGCTATCTGTCCAGCTGCATCATGAGCTTTCGTCGGATCATTTGCCGGTCGTAGCGACTTTGCATCAATCACCACAGCTTAGACCAATGAGGCAATACATCCTTGCACCTGGAGCTCGCATTAATGAATTTAGGACAAACTTAGAGAGCAGAATTCATCTAAACACTCAAATAGATAGCGCGGCTGACGTAGAAGATGCGATTACACTGTTTATGCGAAACATATCTTTGGCTGCATCATACGCGACCCCAGAATATGTACGTCATACAAGACAGCATCATATGGTTATGCTGCCCCCAAATGCTGCTGCTTTATTGCGAATGAAGAGAAGGCTGAGGAAAGAGTATGTGCGAACGGGAGATATACGCGTCCACCAAATTTATAAAAGAATCTCCAATCGCGTACAAAAAGTACTCGCTAAAATCAAGCAATGCAGTATCGATCAAATGCTGGAAAATGCTGGCTCGGATGCGTCTTCCAACTACTCCCTTTGGAAGCTCACAAGTCGTTTTAAAAAATTGCAGCTCCAAAAGTACCGATTAAGGATACGGCAGGTAGATGGTGTTACTCCAGCCAGCAAAAAGCTGATACATTTGCAGACAGCCTACAACAGCGATTCATGCCGTTCA